CTAAGAGACTGCTCCCCCCAGGGACAATCCCGGCCATCGACAAGGGGGGGGGGAGAGGAGGAAAGGGGGCATCCGAGCAGGAAGAAGCTGCTTAGAATCATGGGATCCCAGGGCGGGCAGAGCCCTCAGGAGGTGAGTCCGGGGCCAACCCAACTCAATCCCCCAGCCGGGACTTAAACATCTTTAGGGATGGAGACTCCACCCCCGCCCCAGAGAACCCAGCCCAGGGCTTCCCACCCCCTAGGGAAATCGTTTCCCCTAATCTCCAACCTAGACGTCCCTCGCTGCAACTTGGGCCCATTGCTCCTCGTTCTGCCCCCCTGAGAACAGCCTCTCCAGCCTCCCTGGAACCCCCCTGAGGAAGCTGCAGGCTGCTCTCAAATCCCCCCTCGTTCTGCTCTTCTGCAGACTAAAGAAGCCCAACTCCCTGTGTCATGTTATTGGATTTTAGGGGGAGCGGGGGGGCGTTGGCCCCAATTCAGTACAAAGGGGCAGGGAGGGGTCAAATGAAGCTCATGTTCGACTGATCCTGCCTGCTACGCGTACTGGGGTGATGTCTGCACGTGGGGTTATGAACATGGGCCCCGGGCTGGTACTGGGCATGGCCTGCCTGTCCTGAGGATGCCGATGCTAATTAGCACGGCTCCAGGGACAACGGCCGCCAGGGTGGCTACTACAACCTGAGGGATGCGTCTGGAAACCGACCAGCCAGGGCACAATGGCTGCTGGCATGTGAAACAGACAGACAGAGACCTGCTCCAGCTGGGGAGACACCAGGGATGGATGTGAAGAGCCAGGAGGTGTCTCCAACGGGGGGGGGCCAGCGAGCCGGGAGGGGGCCGACCCGTCCTGGCACAGGATGTGCACCAGAGGCTGCTAAGCCGGCAGTTTGGAACATCTCTGCTGAGAGCCTGCGCCCACAACCTGCTGACTGGTGCGTGTGACGCGTTCTCCTCAACCTCACGCTCCATCTTCCCTTTGGTTAATAAACTTTCACATTTATGATTCCAAAGGACGGGCCCAGCCTGATCTCGTGGGTAAGATCTAAAGTGGAGACTGACCGGGGATCTGCGGCTGGTTCTTTGGGACCCGTTGGGGGTAGGTGAGATCGGGTCCTAGAACCCCTCCCGTGTTAGGCCCGGGGCTGACTGGGGCACAGGGAGAGCTGGGGTGTCCGCTCATGAGGCTTCCTGCTGGCCGGATTGGCAGCTGGAGTGCTTGGTGTGACTGGTTTGTGGCCTGTTTGGAAGGTCTCCAGTCTGGGGCTGTGAGGAGCCCTGGTTTTGAGCAATTCGCCCCGAGCGGTGCCCAGACCCGGCCCGGCCTGTCACAGCCTCAGCCTCTCCTCACAGGTCACATGTTCCAGCCCCCGAATCATTTTGGTCACCCTCTGCTGGCCTCTCTCCAATGCGTCCACATCCTTCCTGTAATGGGGGGCCCAGAGCTGGACACGATACTCACCAGAGCCGAATAAAGGGGAATGATCACGTCTCTGGATCTGCTGGCAATGCTCCTCCTAATGCCCGTGCACATGCTGTTAGCCTGCCTGGCTACACGGGCGTCCCGGGGACTCATCTCCAGCTTCTCATCCACTGTCACCCCAGGCCCTTTGCTTCTCCCACACTGGTCTGGCTTCAGTATGCAGGGCAGGAGGCAGCTGCCCGTGACCACTGGCTCATGCCAGGCCCACACTCCCCCTGCCCCCCCCCCACCCAGGCTGTGGCATGTGGGGCAGAGAACCAGTCCCGGCCTGCTTGGCTTTTCTTACAGGCCACAGACCCTCCGAGGGCACCGTCCTGACCCCCAAGTCAACAGCAACTCCCCTTGGCTGCAGCGGACAAAGCATCCCAGCCTTGCCTTGTGAGGACGGAGGGAACCGGCAGGACCAGACACCCTCAGCTGTGCACACTGCTCCGCCCGGCCCCGGTTCCAACGGCGAGTTACCCACCACAAACTGGCACCCCAGCCCTGAGAGCAGGGAGGAGCCCTGCCAGTCCTGCCCAAGGGGCGGCGCCCCCGTGAGACTAGCTAGCCCAGTGGGAAGAGCACCGCGGGCACGAGATGGTGCGACAGACTCGCACAAGCGCCCGGGCGGCTGACATCCCGTGCTGAATGGCCGGGGCGCTTAGCACGCGAAGCACGGGGACGTCAGGGGGCGGCTGGTAACGAGCCCCTGGCAGGGGAGAGAAGCCACCGCGCGTGCCGGCAGGCAGGCCTACCGTGATCCACCTTGTAGCGCAGCTTCTGGATCGTGGCCAGATTCCCGCTTATTCGATAGAGCCCATCGATGTCCAGCCCTGAGAGCAGGGAGGAGCCCAGTCAGTCCTGCCCAAGGGGCGGCGCCCCCGTGAGACTAGCTAGCCCAGTGGGAAGAGCACCGCGGGCACGAGATGGTGCGACAGACTCGCACAAGCGCCCGGGCGGCTGACATCCCGTGCTGAATGGCCGGGGCGCTTAGCACGCGAAGCACGGGGACGTCAGGGCCTTGCTCCTTACGCTGCAAGCCGCAGGGCCCCCCCTCCCCATCCCGGAGCAG